GAAGCCAATTGGAAAGGTTGCAAATGGCTTTCACAACCGATATTTGGATTATGTGAAGGTGGGACACTTCAGTGATCATAAGTGCAAGTGCTGGTTGTAATTCACCTTTTTCAATGCTGTTGTAACCTCTAAATTAATGGTTGTAAATCAAGGATCATCTGTATATATTTTAATACAGATATCATGTCAAGTTACACTTTGTTTTAACTACTGTGTCAAGGTTTCAAATAACACCCTCGATGAAAGAAGACTCCGAGGCTCAAAATTCCCATTTTATTAGAGATGTCACATTGGAACAGCTGGGAAAACCCGAATCTGAAAGCTTCCAGGTTTTCCCCACCCAAGTCCCTGCCCAGCACCCACATGTCCTTCACATGGTCCAATCAGGCACCGTCCCAACTGGAGATGCCTCCCAGTCACGCCTCTCCAGGTGCAGGGCAAACTGTCCTTGATCCTCTGAGAAAGGAATGTTATTTTGACTATATTTCTCCCATACTCCATATAATCTCCCTTCCCATTTTCCCACAGCATTGAATGTGGCAGGCTGGAAGGCCCAATGCAAAAGATGGCTTCCAGGCCTGACATACTGTTCATTGAATAGGCCATAGTGCAGTGGTGGGTTTCAAATTTCTTTAGAACCTCTTCTGTAGGTGGGGCCTGCTTTGTGGGAGTGGCTTGCCAACCATGTGACCGGGTGAGAGTGGTCAACTTGTAAAATGTGGATAAACTCACTTAACAACGCTCTTGCTTAGCAAAATATTGGCTCAGAAACTCTGGCATTTGAAGTACGCAAGTCTTAAAGCTGTCAAGTTACAAGACCCTCGCACCCCTAATCCTTTAGAAAACAAAACCCCCAGGGGTGTTCAAACTTGACAGCTTTAAGACTTGTGGACTTCAACTCCCAGAATTCATCCTCTCGCTCTTCATCTTGATGTTGTGTGGACAGGTGGGGGGAGGGAGCTGGAACCGGTTCTAAATGGCACTGTAGATTTGTGGAACTTCTTCTATAGAAGAGGTTAGAACTGGCAGGAACCCACCCCTGCCAAATTGTCTGTATCCTATGGCGATCTAAAGTAAAAAAAGCAACTATATGTCAGCATGACGTATGAAGCCAGGCAGTGTCTCTTAATTTGGTTCTCTCTATGGGACCACAAGGATTGAAAACATATAGATCTCTTAGGAATTCTAGCCCTCTAACCAGTGATGAAAGATGCTTAGAGACTGAGGTAATCAGTATGCTGACACTAATTTGAAAGGAGTACCGTATTTTTCGGAGTATAAGATGGACCTTCTCCACCCCTAAAAAAGAGGGTGAAAATCTGGGTGTGTCTTATACACCGAACACAGCATTTTTGGCCTCCCATGCATCCCACTTTTCTCAAAAATGGACACATAGAGTGTTTGGGAGGCCTGCAAAGTACAAAAACTTTTTTTAAAAATTTACCTCTTCAAAATCTTAGTGCATCTTATACTCTGGTGCATTTTATAGTCCAAAAAATACGGTATTTAATAAGGTCTTAAGAATGTCATTGTGACATTTCATCAGTTTTCTGACACCACATTCTGACAGCATTTTCCTGCTGTCGTATGAAGAATGTAATTGGAAATATATAAGATCTAAGAGATATTTTTAAAAATTGCATGGATGCATTATATGATCAGGGCCTCGTTTGATAAATTCTCCTACTGCTGTCCAGTTGAAAGAAACCATCCATTGCTTAAAATTATATATGGAATTGTGCAAATTGTAAGCGTCATTGCATATACCCATTCTTTTTTTTTTTTTGGCTGCTATGTATCTGCCAAAGGTTTTATTCAGCTGAGTATTTCAGATATCTAAAGGCAAACATTGCCATCATTTTTAAAGGAGTACATTTTGCATGAAAAATAGTTTTCCTAGATTTTTCATTTTTCAGTAGAAAATTCTTTAAATGTTCCTTTGGCTTGGGAAAGATAAAGCCCCTTACTTTTTATAAATTCCCAGTTTTAAAAATCTAATCTGAATTCTAATAACATTAAAAATACAATAGAAACACAATGGACAATATAGACATAATTTTGTTACAAAGGGTCGTTTTGGAACAGTCATTCTGATCAGCGGGTTTTTTTTTAAATGGGCAAAAACAAAATTAGCTGTATTGGTCTGCAAGAAAAAAAAATCAACATCTATAGTAGAACAATAAGTTGAAAATCCTTAGGGATTGAGGCAGCTGTAAAATTTAACAAAGAAAACAAAGGAGTTGCTAAATTACAGTGTTTTATTCTTGTGTTCTTTTGAATAATCATCCTTCATTAGGGAATACTCTTAAAAATAGTAGGCAGTTTAAAAATAAATGTAAATTTTAATCTAACCCTATTTGAGATTTTTTTATCCATTTTATTTATTAGCTTTATATACCATGTTTCCTTTGGGAGTTCAAGGTGGCATCTCCCTCATCTTAATTTGTTTCCCACAAATACAATCTGATAGGCAGAGGTGGTATTCAGCCAGTTCTCTCCGGTTTGGGCGAACCGGTAGCTGCGGCTGCGGGAGGTCCCACCCACCCACCTCGATGTACTGCGCAAGCACTGCATGGGCACAGAAGGCGGTGCGCATGCGCAGATGGTGTGCATGTACTCACATTTGCAAAACGGTAGAGAAGTGAATCCCACCGCTGTTGGTAGGGTAGGTTGGGCTAAGATCAAATAGCAAATCTCAGCACAGGTTGTCCTCGAGTTACGACCACAATTGAGCCCAAAATTTATGTTGCTAAGCAAAAGATTTGCTAAATGAATTGGTCCTATCATAAATGCGAATCAGTTGTCAAGCATCCAAATCTAAATCACGTGACCGTGGGGATGCAACAACAGTCATAAGTGTGAAAAATGGTCATCAGTCACTTTTTCAGCGCTGTTGTAACTCCAAACGGTCACTAAGGGAAGTGTTGTAAGTCTAGGACTACCTTTACCTTTCTAAAACGACTGCTGAAAATGAATGGAGAGATTTTGAGATGTGCAAATGCTAGTAGAAAGATAATGGGTGGCATGTGGACTATTGCAATAAATTAATGGCTGCCAAAAGAAGCAAAAAATGACCAGGTGTTTGTTTACTCACTTTTTCATATGGAAGTTAAAGTTTAGTATGTCAGAAGAAGTGGGGTAAGTTGAATGTGGAGTGAACTTAAGAAGGGTGCATGGTAAAACAAGAGACAAGGACAAGAATGTGTTGAATAAATGTCTGGCGATTCTCAATTATCCAGGTCATGATTGTCTCAAAGGTGTTTTTCAAAAGGCAACTGGACTTCCCTTGTTTTTTTCTCATTCATGAAGCTTCTTCAGTTCCCACTGAATAGGAGCAGGGGGAGAGAAAGGAAGGATATACATTCTTTGCAGTCATCTGATGGTTAGTACTCTGAAGATTGTTCTTAGCTCTCTGAGAGACAGGAGACAGTGTAGTATCCTATCTCCTATCATTCACACCACCTACCTTTTGGTGACAACCAAGAAATCCAGTTGCCTTTTGAGAAGCAGCTTTGGGCTGAGCGTTGAATTACTCGGAAGTGGACAGAAAGAGATTCACCAGTACGAAATAAACCTGTTAAAGTGGCTCGGTCATGTAGGCAGAACAACTGAAGCTTGAATGCAAACAAATGCATGAAGGAAGAGTGGATGGCTTGAAAGGGAGAGGAAGCTGAGAAAATTGTGGCTAAAATTGCTGAACAGACAGGTAAGAAATGTAAAGAAGAACACAATACATGGTTATGGGGGAAGCTATAACAATTGGCAAGAATATGGAGAGGAACAGTGAACAATGCAGAGGATAAGTTAGATTGTTCTGATCTCTTACCCGTTTTCTGCAGTCTTCCAACTATTCCTCACACTAAAAGGGGACAATATGATGGGCATATATGTATGCAATTACAGTAATAAATTAGCAATATTAAGTTGCCAATGAGTGGCAAATAACTAAAGGCTGTCTTTCATATTATGAATTGTCCAGTCAAGATTGGAAAAGCAAGCCTTCCAGTAGATATGCTTGGTGGCTTTGTTCTTGACACCTCTGTCTGACACATAGCAAAGTGGCTTCTCTTGTATTGCTCTCACGTGATGGAAAGCATTACTGTATGAGTTGAGTTTGATCCTGCTTCTTTCACATTTAGAAATCATGTACATGTAGCATTTATCGTAAGCACCTAAAGCTAGACGTGATTGAGTGCTGGTCTACTGTTTATAGTGTTGACCCACTGATTTTTTATTGCAATACAACAACCAGAATGTTAGAAAATGATGAAGTAAGCAGGTATGTTGATCCATAGGTATATCATACCATTTCCCTTAAAAAAAAAGAAATTAAGTAGGAGGGACATTTTAACATTGTATGATTGTGCATACAATGATTGTGCATATTCTGGGAGATGCAGTTAGGATCTGATCGTGCCCAGATAGACAACAATCAGATGAGTCAGACAGGAAAAATAACACATGATTGCCAAAGGGCTGAGGGTTGAAGACTGGTACCTAATTAAACAATGGTCATGGCATACTGAGACTGGAGACAGGCTGTAATGGATGCATTTTCTGAAAAAGCTACCTGGAGGGTCAGCATTGAGTGTGGAGTTGCATCGTTGCTGCCAGCGCACCAATTGGCTGTCTCCTGCAGCTACTGCTTGCTCTCTGATCCACACCAAGTGTGCCATTACCAGTAGTCATAGCAAAGCGTGATCAGAAGGCAGCTGACGGTGAAATACTGGATTGGGTGGATGGAATATTTCGAGGCTAGTGCAATACGCTGGGTGCAGTGGGGGCACATTTCTTTCCATCCTCTGGCTCTTACTCGGAGTGTGCCCGGAGGGCTCCCCCTCTGAGAAGGCTGACCTGCTGCCTTATGCATGCAATCGATGTCTGTGTATAATGTAACCTTTTCCTAAAAAGCGCTATCGCTAATGCCTTCTTGTTAACCCAGGATTGCTCAGCTTCTGCAGTGGTATGTCTAGTCTTAAAAGCGACCCTTCTTTTTCCAGAAGAACCGACTCCTTCACATAAAATCATCAGCCCACCCACTGGAGTTACTTACCCTCATGATGATGTCTCGGATTATGGCCTCAAGCCCTACCCCTTCGCTTTGTCTAGCCTTTCGGCAGATCACATGGGCAGATATGGACAGCCAGATAGCATAGGGTCAAAATGCTACTTGGACCCTCACAAGGCTGCAGGTCCCCCTACTTTGAGCCCTAGGATTGAGATAACACCATCTTATGAACTGATTCACTCAGGGGGGGCCTTCAGCAGCAGAGACACAGATCTATTGGTAGAGCATCAGTCCAGCTCAGCTACCGCTAGCCCAAGGTTTACCCTGCCGGTCCCTGGCTTTGAGAGCTACCGAGAACCGCTGTGCCTGAGCCCGCCTAGCAGCGGCTCCTCTGCAAGCTTCATTTCAGAGACAAATTTCTCTCCTTATACTTCGCCATGCGTTTCACCAAATAATGGCCCTAGTGATGACCTGTGTCCACAGTTTCAAAACACCCATGCTCATTATTCCCCTAGAACCTCGCCAATAATGTCCCCACAAGCATCTGTCGTGGAGGATACCTGCTTGGGGCCACGTTCACCATCACCACGTCCCAACTCAAGGTCGTCATCGCCAGGGGCCAAACGGAGGTACTCTTGCACTGAGCTCTACGGGAGTCAGCACCCCCACTCTTCTCCACGGCAATCGAGGACCCCTTCTCCACAGGCCTCTCCCCACGTCTCCCTGAGAGAAGACGGAGCGACAGTCACTTACACCCAGTTGTCCACCTCGTCTAGTCTCATGGATGCCATGAACAATCTCACCACGGATCCTTCCTGCGGAGTTCCCACAAAAATATGGAGGACCACTCCAGATCCTTCGCCATTGGTTTCCCACAAAGCCAGTATGCCATGCCATGTGCTTCAGCCCATCGAATACATTGGATCCTGTGAGCAGGAGAATCGAAGGAACCCACCGCCAGATTCAATCCTCTTAGTGCCGCCATCTTGGCCGAAGCAGTTGATGCCTGCGATACCAATCTGCAGGTAAGTAACAAGTCTTGCATATTTATTTATGAGCCAAGGTGGCGCAGTGGTTATAGTGCAGTAATGCAGGCTACTTCTGCTGACTGCTGGCTGACTGCAATTTGGCAGATCGAACCTCACCAAGCTCAAGGTTGACTCAGGCTTCCATCCTTCCAAGGTGGGTAAAACTGAGGACCCAGATTGTTGGGGGCAAGGTGCTGACTCTGTAAACTGCTTAGAGAGGTCTGTAAAAGCACTGTAAAGGGGTATATAAGTCTAAATGCTATTGCTATTTATGGAGCCCTATAGAATTTCTCTCATAGATATGTGTATATCTGTGAGACAGATTGCATATAATAGAGGAGGATTTCTTTTAATGAGGGAAGAATTCTCCTGTTCTTCTTTTTCTCCTAAGCTTCCCTGGATATTCTTCTGTTGGATCTAACAGCAAATGCATGTTCCCCTAGCAAATCAAAGTGCATAATATTTGAGGGGAGCAAATCATTGCAGGTTAGACACCAGCATAATTTGCTCCTCTTCCTTGACAAGGAGAAAGATAAACATTTTCTACTTTTCATTACATTCCGAATATCTGAATCACCACTATTTGCACACAGCGATGATTGAACGGCTACTGAAAATGCTCTTGTGAGTTCCTTCAGGACCTTGTGAATAGCTAGCAGGGTTTGGGTCAATCTGTTCATTACCCTTTGTCCTTCTTGAATTAATTGCCATGGGTTCTTATTTGGCTCCTAGTTAGTGATCGTTGGTTAATCGTGAGGCAAAGATTCCATCCCACTGACACGAGTTAAGCAAAGGTATTTTTAATTGTTCTTCATCTCCTGCCAATCAGTGGTCGATCCAGCCCTCTTGCATTTTGAAAAAGAAACATGACTACCGATTGTTTGAGTCACTATTGTTCAGCCTGTTCTTGTTATCTACATGTTGAACTAAACTTCTTCTCTTTCCTAACTTAAACCCAAACTTTCTTCTCCCCAGCATTCCTGTTCAGTCTCTTCCACCTCTTGAGTGGCCTCTTTCCAGCCATTCAGGCGCCTACGAATTACAGATTGAGGTGCAACCCAAACCCCACCATCGTGCTCATTACGAGACAGAAGGGAGCCGAGGGGCAGTCAAAGCACAAACAGGGGGACATCCTGTGATTCAGGTACATTGTGTCTTGTTGGCGGGGGGGGGGGTGTATTTTACAGTGCTGTAAACTCCCATGCTGGCTGGGGAATTCTGGGAGTTGAAGTCCTTCCATCTTAAAGTTGGTATATCTTTATCCTGTATTTATTATTTTCTCATAAACAGTTCAAGGTGGTGAACATACCTAATATTCTTTCCTCTTCCTATTGTTACCACCACCACAACAACAACCCTGTGAGATGGGTTGGACTGAGAGACTCTCCCAAGGCTTTCATGCCTAAGATGGAACTAGAACTCCCGGTCTCCTGGTTTCTAGCCTTAACCACTAGACCAGTGGCCCCAAACCTTTTGAGTACAAAGGACTGGTTCCATGGAGAAAGTTTTTCATGGTTTCGTGTGCTGCCTGCGTCCTGCTGATGGGGCTTTACTAGTTGGTGCGGCCTGGTTTCTGGCATGTCTTGGCTCAGTGCCAACCCATGGCCTGGGAGTTGGGGACCCCGGTGATAGACCAAACTGGCTCTCTAAAAAAATGTTGCTAAGGTTGAAAAACACTGCTGTATCAGATCTGGAAAAACAGAGAACTATTCTTTGAAAACTTACTCAAGCCAACAGATCTCCTTTTCTGCTGTCCTCTCATGCTAAAGAGATTGAGTTGTATTTTCCCTCTTCTGGAAGTGAAAGAGGAGCAAAAATACATCTACTGGTAAATTGTTCTCTTCTGCCTGCTGATACAGCTTAAAAGCTCAGTTCCAAAAGATGCCATCTTGTACACAGATAAATAAGGCTTTTGTTCTTATGTAACGGACATTTTGTAGTTGGGAGGGAAGAGAAAAAGGGACCGTTTCCTAGGGCTAGAGAAAAGAACAGGCTGTAAATATATCAGCTGAATCAACTTTTAATTGATAAGGCTAAAGAGACACTACTTAACATCCTAAGTTGGCCCTTAACACTAACATTTGAACCATTTTGAACTTTGGTATAGAAAGTTTTGCAAAAGAAAAGATAACTTTGCTTCTGGTATAGTTGAGTATGGAAGTAAATTTGGAAGAATTTCCTTTTCCAGGATGGTTTGTACTGTACTGTAAATATTCTAAATACAGTGTAAATATAAATCAAAATCATGTGAAGTATCATGTGAATCAGAGGTGGGTTGCCAATTTTTTAACTACTGGTTTGGGCGTGCTCCTGCACGCACGCGATGCTTCTGCACATGCGCAGAAGCGTCCAGTCAGGCAGGCGGAGCCTCCCACCACCGCTACTACTGGTTCGGCCAATTTGAGCCGAACTAGGAGCAACTCACCTCTGATGTGAATATATAAAACCTTAGTAAGACCACACCTGGAATACTGTATCCAGTTTATGTCACCACACTACAAAAAACATTACAAAAAGATGAGATTTTGAAAGAAGCACAGAGAAGAACAACTAAGATGATTAAAGGCCTGGAGACTAAAACATGTGAAGAATGGTTGCAGGAATTTGGTTTGGCTAGTCTAGAGAAAAGAAGGGGGGACATGATAGCAGTGTTTCAATATTTGCCACAAAGAGGAGTGGGTCAACCCATTCGCCAAAGCACCGAAGACAAGACAAGAAACAATGGATGGAAACAAATCAAGGAGACAACCAACCTGGAAATAAGGAGAAACTTCCTAACAGAAAACAATTAACCAGTGGAACATCTTGCCTTCAGAAGCTGTGGGGGCTTCATCACTGGAGGTTTTTAAAAGGAGACTGGATAGCCACAAGTCTGAAATGGTATAGAATCTCCTGCCTCAGCAGATGGTTGGAGTAGAAGACCTCCAAGGTCTCTTCCAGCTCTATTCTGATTAAATATTGTTTTAGGAGACAAGTGGACTAAAGCACCTTCTTGCCTTTTCTACAGTGAGTGCCATAAATCAAGCAGCCAGTTTGATGTTTATTGGCTATATTGCTTCTTTCTTGAGCAATATCTTTGTTATGTGATGCAATGTGAAGATCTCTTCATTGATATGGTTACAATTGAAATAAAGAAAGGAAGGAGGGTCAATTGAGGCTTGCCACAGTTGGCACTTGGTTTAAAGAGGTGTTTGATGGCATGTTGTAAACTTTATGCTGTTATAAAGATACAGCGGCCTAGGCTAAATGAGTTCATGAATTCATAAGAGAAAGTTGAATGAGTTGGAACAGTTTTTGCTGATGTAGACTAAGGTCACTGATGCCACGGGGCATTTATAAAACAAGGGTAGAAAGCGTCTTCCTTCCCCACTTATTAAATTTGTATCCCTCTTTTCCATCCAAGTGAGCAGAAGAGGCTGCTATCAATGGTAGAACATAATTATAAAAACAAAAGTCGAATTAAACCTTGAAAACAGGCAAATAAAACCTCCATCAATCAAAAAAGAAATAAACCGTACACACCAATTAAAACTTGTGTCAATAGACACGTCGAATTGTGTGCCCAAAAGTGTGTCTGGATATACTAAGTCTCTAGAGAGGACTTAGACTTTGCTATATCTGATCAGTCTAGCCAGTATGAACAGTAGGTGGGGATGATGGAGATTGTAGTCAGATGATAATTGGATATCACCCTGTTTTTAAAATATTCTCTTGCCTTTATTACAGTTGGGTAAAATGAAGGTCAACCTTGCTGGATAAATCAAGTTTAGTCTGAGTGGTAGATGGAATTAAAATTTGACGTCTCTGCATGAAATAATGTGTTATTGCAGAGATTCAAAGCAGAAACATTAAATCCAGGGGTGAAATTCAGCAGGTTCTGAACAGATTCTGGAGAACCGGTGGCAGAAATTTTGAGTAGTTTGGAGAACCAGCAAATGCCACCTCTGGCTGGCCCCAGAGTGAGGTAGGAATGGAGATTTTACAGCATCCTCCCCCTGCCACACCCACCAAGCCACACCCACAGAACCGGTAGTAAAAAAAATTGAATTTCACCACTGATTAAATCTGTTGATTTCTCCAAGTCTTTTTTTTTTTTTTTTTAGTGATGAAGAGGCAAATGTACTTTATAGAGATGAAACTTTAGACTTCCTTTTGAGAAAGGAAGGGAGTTCTGGTTCTTTTTGTTTTCCCTTCTGATATTCTGGTATATATATATATATACATATATATCGCGTTGATACATATTAAAGTCTATCATATTGTTATAAAATGGAAGGGATGGAAGAGAACTTAAGAAATCATCTCGTCTCACCCTCTATCCAGTGCATGGATGCTTTACTGCAAGCAAGAATTTCTTCTTTTTTGATGGAGGAGTAGATAGAGTATTCT